ATATTTTGTAAATTTGTAAAAAAAAAAAAAAGAAAGAGAAAGGTTAATATACGTACTTCTGGTAATTCCAAGGTCAAGCTTACGAGCAAGTTATTTATTGCATAACTATATTACTCCAAGAAATATTCTCATCTGTAATGTTAATATTCAAAGTCATTTTACATGATCCAAAATACTCTAGACATTTAGTAAAGTTTATTAATGACAATCGATCATTAATGAACGGTTATTGACTTCCGACCATAAGTTGGACATTTAACGGTCGTTGATCAGTTGTTATTGTAACTTTGGTTTCGTATCGTCTTAATTATTTATATAACATCGGTGTACAGCGATCATCGTCAGTTTCATCATTGACTTTGTACAATGACGTAAACATTACATGCCTGGTGTACATATTACACGCAAAAATTATTTCGCTCTCATTTTATCAAGGTTTCTCTGGCATGCAACTGTCTCACGGGCATAATATAATATATTTTATACGCTACCGATAGCCGTAGAATCGAACACCGTACCATTAATTTTAAGGGATCAGTCCACGATTAAACAATAATTGTTCTGTTTTCTATTACAGTCTAATGTTACGTTTCGATTAATTATATTGTTAATTGTAATGAGTGTAAATATTAAAGTATCCTTAGTTTAACGTCTTGATGAACTTGAACGGTTGTCTTTTGCAAAGGATTAAGCAATCGTTATAAACTATATGCAGAGTTACATTTTAATGTTCGTCACAAATCGACATATGACTTAATTACCGTATAAAAAGACGAAGCGTGTAAGTTGGAACAAATAGTCGAGAAATGAAAATCAGAAAAGCTTTTGAATCTTTTTCACTGTATTTTTATCAGCATAGAATACTTACGAGTTTAGACTAGTTCGAAGAATAAAGTGATCTTAAAACTCGTGATAACATGGATACAAGTATATTCTAAAATCAAAAGAGCGACATTAGAATTTTTTATTTCGACGACACGGAGCAACACGGTTTTCTGCTTTTAAGCTGGTGAAACTTTTAAAATTAGCAAAATTTAAACGAAGAGATGTCAACGTTTAAGTATAATAGATTTTAACAATATTAACTGAGATACGCACAAATTCACGAATAAACCATCCAAGCAAGGACGCTAAAATCATAAATTAACAACTCTGTGCCGGAAGGAAGACGTTAATGTGATGTATTTGACAAGAACGCACATTTGTTCGCTTACGATTATTGTTACAAAATTTCACGTGAAAAGATATATTTACAAAGTCACTTAGTACAATTTAATTTAATTAGTCGAGTCACATGTTACGTGAAAAAAGGTTCTTCCTTTTAATTCCTTAATTCCTTAAAACCCTACATTCCGTCTTTTAACGTGTTACAGAGATCGTTCACCTTTTTTTAAAACTTTGTCATTAAAAAAGTATCCATTGTTACTTTTATTAAATCCTTAAGACAAGTATGTCTACGAAAGTAAAGTTAACGATAATAATTTTAATAATGATAATAATGTTAAGGGTAAATGATACTATGCAATAATAATCGTCGCATAATAAATATTCATTACGTAATTATTATTGTGTAAGGTGGATGAATTCGAAATTTTACGACTATAAGGCTTGTCTGAGCTACTCGTAAATGACCAAAAGCTTTGGTTACCATTGTAACAGTTACAGAACTGTCGCGAATAACATCGTAACACATTTTTAGGACGAGACTTAGATCGCATTTAGAAGAAAATGTCTGGGAGTTTTTGAACGTAGATTTTGTATCGGAATTTCGCAAACATTTCTAAGAGTTTCTATATACATATAGAGTCAACAATAAGTTATTAGGGATCACGGAAAGCAACACATTTTGCTATACTTTGATATCATTTATAGCAGACTTACAGATAATATATTGCAATTATTTTACCAGAATCGTTGTGTTACAAAGATATTTCTCAAGATACATTGTTGTCTTTTAATAGTAATTGCATAGTTGGATGTATATGATTATATAAGACTGCTTGGAGCCTGATTAATCGAAAAACGATTTCACTTCGTTCGAGATATTACATGATTTAATGAAAAGAGTTGTCTTCGTTTGTTTTTACACTTTGTAGACTATTAACATTTATTAAGTCTTAACATCGTTATCGTGCATGTTACAATTCGTTCAACAATAATTATCGTCTTTTTTTTGTAAAAAAAATTTACATTATCGCATTTGGTACGTGTATCGTTGTATTCTATTTGTTATTACAAAAATTCGTACGGGAATTCATTATTTGGACGACAAATATGTGAAGGCTCTACAATAAATTTACCTTTATAGAAAATATAATTATCAATGTGTTCACGTTGCGTGACTTCAAGTCGAGTATTCGAAAGAAATGTATAGTTTATCGATATAATAAATGATACAGCTAGAGTACCTATTTATGTCTGTTACAATGTATGTGATCGCTTGAAATAAAAACTTGACATCAATATTAAACTGATAATTCTCGCTTTTTATCAATAACTTTCACGACAGAAATAAATTTTCGTTATTTGTTATATAATAACAGTTTATCGCGTTTTAGAGAACATTTTTTGTTATCAAAAATTTGGCCCCTAATATATCATGGAAAAAAATGAAAAAAATAAAGAATCTCGTTTAAGTATGTACTTTGTAAAAATGCTTAAGTATTTGCTGGCATGATATATGTGATATTGCTTATAATTCATAAACTCATCACAGAATCATAAAATGAAGCAGTAATACTATTATCGCTTAATAGTAAATGTAATGTTTAAATATAATTACACTTTTCTATTTACCTAGTTGTTAATACATACTTGAAAGATATGTATAATTCTTATTGTATATTTCTATAGAGTATTTGATAGTAAATGCTTTATTGTTCCTCAATCCTGTGCCGAGCTTTTTCCAATATTTGTTTCAATTCTGACGTCCGAGAGCTCTTTTTCTACAAATATAAGAAAAAAATGTAACAAAATTAAATTTTCATATTTTGCATTTTTCATTTTTATTACTTACCTCATTTTCAGCTCGCGCGAGTGAAATTTGACTATAGAGTTTATTACCCTCCACTATACCGCAATATTGTTCCAATTGTCGTTTAGTTAAGTCGAATACCTGAGAGCCAGCCATGTCTCTTAACTGTTTACAAGTTCTGAGAAAACACATTTAAATTTGCATTTATATGTAAATCCTAATTTGTAAATTTTCAAAGTTTCGAATTAAATTTGTTTCATTTTATTATAGCTTCACACGAAAGATATTTCTTATATAATTCATCGCTACTTATAACTTATTATACAATTCTATCGTACTTTTCTGAAAATTTTTTCGCCGTCAGCCAGTTCTGCACTTCTCTAGGCGTGGAATATTGGTCCAACACAGGATCGCGATTAATGCTGTTACTGTAATGGTCTTTCTTCTCACGGAATATCATCAGTACCTGTTTCAACTCTTCTTGCATCTGTTTCTCATTCTTCAGCTCTGAAAAACAATACATCGAACATCAAACAGCTTTGTGTGTTATAAAAATGCAGATACTACCGCTAATAGATTGATTACTCTTCAATGTAGCCGATTGGCTTGATGTGCTTGAAGAAATAGATGTCTGATTCTGGAGAGGTGGCGGTGGAGGTGGTGGTGGCGCAGTTGATGTTACTGGGGTTGATGATTCTGATGGTGTTGACTCTGTTGATTGTGTCGAAGGTGTTGATAATGATAGCGATTTCGGAAGGATTTCTTCACGCATGTTTGGAGGTGGTGCATGTATTTCAACCACCTCCGTCGTTTCGTTGGGCATTGCTTTTTGATCTTCGTTAATAGACGATTCCTTTTCGTTGACATCAGTTTCAACAGTAAATGTTACTTTGTTGCTACCGATTGACGTCGTTTCTTCCGTACACTCGTCTGCAATACAATTATTATTTATGTTATAAAATAATCATTACATAGTTAATGTTACAGACATTAAAACATCTAAACAAACTTACCCCAACATTTTTGGAGAATAAAATCACTAAACTCTTTCTCAATGGACGATCACATTAAGAAGCACAGTTTAAGCATATGCAACGGGACGACACTAAAATAAACCGACGAGAAAGTAACAAACAAAATAGTTTGTTCTTTAACTACCATTCGTGTTAAATGTTCTACTAATCTACATATGGGACAACTATACTTATACAAAGAGACAAGTACAATCTTTAACCGAGTATATTTATTAATCATGTGATGTACATAAATTACAGTGCAACAAAATATTGGACGGATCGTAATCCCCATCCCGTGGACACAAAACAAATAAAAGAGTTAAAAAAAAGATGAGAAAAGATTTCGCTCGATTGAGGAGTGAGTACAAAATATAGATTACATTATCGTGCATCGTAATTTTATAATTAATTGCAAAGTGTCCCTCGTGGAAGAATTTCATGGTCCATAGAGGTTGCTCGCACGATCGTTGATCGTTGCAGCACGATTATAATAATACTCTAATAAGACTGAAGGTGCGAAGAAAAATTTCGAGATCCGATTTGCAAGCGTCGTTGAACTTGTCTCCGTTGTGATATCGTTTCCCGCGGTTTACCTTTCTTAGGTCGACTAGTTAGCATCGTATCGTCGAGAACGGTTCTACCATTGATTTCTGCGTATAAATAAACCGATCGTTCGAGAATAAATCGATAACGTGTAAGATAATTACATATTGTCCATGCCCCAATGTTTCCATGAAACTTCACGTTACAAGGAAGCAATCTAATCGCGTTCATCGATACGTAGAGTAATTCGCGCTCTTTACTTTCTCCCTAATCATTATAACATTGGAAGATTAACTTTGATGGACAAATTGCAAATGCCAATGCCGAGCTACTATTTCAGGTTTGCGACTATAAATTTTTTCCGATAATCAGCATCCGAATGTTACGTATATGTACAATCGGTAAAGATAACCTAACATTCACATACGAATCAACAACGTAACTCGATGTGATATTTCAGAGACTCGTCTAAAGGAAATCTCAAAGAATAACTCGACTTTGGCAAGCAACGAAACTTAATATCGCTCGAAATAAATCTACAGTCGTGGGATTTCTAAGAATCCACGGTAAAAATAATGGAAAATAAACTACGTTCTCTCTCTCTCTCTCTCTCGCTCTCCCTCTCTCTCTCTCTCTCTCTTTCTCTCCCCTCCCCCTCCCTCCCTCTCATCGCTCTTTCTCTCTCATCGTACAGGTGATTTTGATTGTCGTCGTTCTTATAGAGCTCGGTTCGATCTTCCAGTCTTATCTAACGATTCGTAGAAGGGGAATCGCGAAAATCCAACAATTCTTCTTTCCTCAGTGTTTCCCTTCGCGTATTTGTACAAGCTTATTCACACTGATGCATACAGATACATGCGACGACACGTACAAGCATCGAGAGAAAGATTTGCGCCGTCGATTAAAGCCATTGATAAAGAAAGGAATGAGTCACAAATGTCATGAATGTACTTGCCGTTGATTCAACATGAGAACCAAGAGCGTTTTCTGCTAAAGCCGGGGGAGAATGCAATTTTATCAACAGCTTTAAGCCGACCAACAGCAAGCTTTTTCTCATAGTGAAGCCGAATATATAATAATAATGGACGGACACAATAACTTCACCACGATTTCTTAGTGTAAACGCACAAAAATTACATTCGAAAGTTTCACGAGTTCAATGTGAATCCGTTTAAAAGTTCAACCAGCCCACTTGACTTAATATCTTAACGTTATAACGTTTTTAATATAAAACTATACATATTTTTCTCTGTTCTGTTAAGTATGTATATATATATATATATATACTAAAGATTTGGTTAGTCGATAAATATAAAAAATATGGTATCGTTCCTACGGTCACTATAAAAAAAAAAAAGGTACGGTATTAAGATGAGCTCGAACACTCCTAATCAATTGATGTGAAATAATATTAATTAATTTCGTGATTTTGTTTTTAACATAACATAGATTATGTTTTGAACGAATATGACAAATATAAGTCATTCATAAGTTGTTCGTGAAATATCAAATTATTTTGTTCGTTGAGTTTAATAATAAAACATATTCCATCTTGTTACCTTGACTGCGATTTTGTTTTTGATTGTAAACTTACATTTGATAAAGTCATCGTCTTATCGTTAGTTGTTTTTAAGGTCTCAGAGAAGAAAAAACGGATTACTATCTGTTACATCGCGGTGAGTTTTTCTCGAAGTTCTTCTCGATATCCTCGAATCGGGGAGTCATCGATATAAATTATAAAAGAAAACTTTGGACAAGACCGAAGAACTTGAAAAACGAAATCAACGCGTTCGGCAACGAATATAATTCCTCCAGTTACCTTGTCTCTATTGCAATAACGATTGTTGGTGAATCGACCTAAATATTACTCGCATATACCTCTTTATATATTTATATAATATATACAACTAGAAAAAAGACACGGCATTGACAAAAAAAAAAAAAAAAAGTTGGGAATCATAGAACGCTTATAAGAATAGAACATACAGCTTGTGCGGTAATTTGAGACACAACATGAATGCCGTGGCGCCAGTATATTAGTTGAATTATTGATCATTTTCAACGCAGTATGAGCTCTTATCTCGTAGCCAAAACTATCAAGAAATAAGCCTTTGATAACTTCAACTACAAAACCCAAGCCGTAAAAGTTTCAAGCATTTTAACTGCATCTGCTTGGGTGGTCTAGTCTGTTAAGTCTTCCGATATCGACGACCACAGCTTAAAATTTATCCTATTGATTCGATTCCTCTCCGACCCCTCAAGCAACGGACAAAACTATACGACTCTGAATTACTAGATAGCTTAAAAGTACCGGAATTCACCTTTTTTCCCAAGTCTCTCTTTTCTCACCCAATCTGCAGGAGCAGGCGGTGGAATTGCGTGCGTTCGATGAGTGGCTTCAGGTCCTGGACTAGTGCTGGTCCTTTCGATTTCCGAATCCTGAAATGTTAGTGAAACAATTGTTGTGTTACAAATTAATATTTTAACAAGCACAATTACTTCTCAATGTATTTGTTATCAGAAAACGATTCTATAATAGCGATTACGAACAGTAACACAATTTCTTAATGGGAATTGCCATCTTTTTTAATTAGGTTTCCACAATTATTTGGCATCATTATTTCTCTTAAAGAATGTAGAAGTCAGAGTGACACTCACCTCGTAATTATAGCCGTGCCCCTGTCGCGGATATCGACTCGTATACAAAGGATTGTTAAAAACGTCGTTGTCGGTAGAATAAGAAGGGTTATGAGGCGTGACGATGGTGTGTGGCACGTGCGCGACCTGCCCTCTGGAATTCCTCGCCTTCCACCACTTCCTACTATCGTCAAGAATCTCCAGGTATTCGCCTCTGACAACCGTCAGTTCCTTGTCGTTGTTGGCCGTCCTTGGATATGTAACCTGCACGATCTTTGCGTGTCTGGCTACCAAGTCGTCTAACCAAGCTTCCTGAGCCCGTTCCATACCGGCGGCTCTTGGTGTTCTTTCGATCGAGTCCACGGATATATCGCTGTGCGCTCTCGTTTGATCAACCACTCTCTCTTCTCTAGCGTATAATTCTGAGCCAGTCCCGTAATTCCTATCGAAATATTCGTTACCGGCACGTTCTTCTCTGCTCTCGTACTCCAAGTAATCGCTGCTATAATGAGACTCGTCGACTTCTCTGTGGTTGTAGTACGGATCGTTCTGTTGTTCAGGAAGTTCGTCCCTCTTCTGTTTATCAGCGTTCAACAACGAAGCTAGATGATCGTGATCTCTGTCCTCTGGTATTGGGTATTCTGGGGACCAACCATCCATAAAGATAGGGTGATACGGGGGAACGTGACCTTTCCATTGATCGCGTGGTATTAACCACGTATCGCCCAGAGAATGCCAAAGTTCTGTCTCTTTACTGGTGACACAGTTAATCAATAAGTTGACCGCTTCTCTAGTCAATAACGGTGATACCACTTTGCTGGGCAAATTTGGATCGTAATTAGTGTCGTGGGACGCGTCCACGATCAAAGCCAACGGAGTGAAGAGAAAGTGTACCAGTTCAGGAGCGTTAGGGTCATGAATGTGGGCCTTCAGCTTAGCCAGCAAGTTGAACGACAGCTTGAACTTTTGAAAGATGTCGATGAATTCCATCTCTGGAGGAGGTTTCGCCCTCATTGTCAGCATGCCGTCACCCAGATTCCTCTTCTTCGACTTCCGATTACGTCTTCGACGTTCCAGCTCTTTAGAGGCGGCCGCTGCATATTGCAAACGTGCGATAAATTTCTCGATGTCGTCGAAACAATGGTTCAAGATAGTCACATCGCGTTCGTATTTCTCAGAGGACGTCGAGGACACCTCGTCGTTGTTCTCTTCTCGAGATATATCGTTTTGACCGTCAGCTGTGTTCCGGAAAACAAACGTATTAAATTACTCCATTTTTATACCGTCTACGGTTCATGAAATATTCAAGAAACAAACAAAAGAAACAAAAAGGGAAAAGGGAGAGGAACGAAAGGACATACCATTGTTAGCATTAAAGGCAGACACTTGTTCCCGGACGTTAACCCCATTCAAGGGTGGTTCTGGCGGTGGTAAAGTGGGAGGCGGTGGAATACGACCTCTTGGACCTCTCGGCGAACCACCGGGGACTAGTTTACCCATTTGTAGCATCTTCAGATCTTCGACAAGATCCTGGGCCGAGACACTTTGACACTGGAATATATGCATTTCTGCCCGTTGACCGGAACCACTGTCATCCGCCACTGTGAAGACGAGAATGTTGTTATACATCTCCATAGGGTCCCTCGACGTGAACGCGGTCGGTTCCTGTATCAACGAGGCTGGGAATCGCTCCATGACGGCCTGCATACGAATTTATCAACGATGCATTAAGTGAAATTGCCTCGGACTGTACGTAAAGTAATTTCACAAATGTTCCACTTCGTATTTCATCGTTCGTTTACGGTTCTACAAACTATGATTCTTTCTCTTTTCACTGAAAAAACATTGGAGAATTTCTCTTTGTCTGAAGAGGATCTTTACCCCCGTCTCGTTGTCCATGATCAGCACCCAGTTCCGTTCCAGACGGAGCTGCATCTTTTGACTCCAGATGCCGTTACTCTTCTCCAACTGCAAAAGTCGCCGCATACCGTCTGCTGGATAAACAATACCGGTTTCCTTCGTGACCGTGAACGTGGCCAAATGCTCCATCATGTACGTCGGCTCAGAACTGCTCACACGGCCGCCTGATGTACTCGATGGACCACTGGACCCTCCATCTGATGCATTGTCATTAATTCATTTATTAGAAATTTCAGTTATCACTCAAGGTACCTAACTGATTTCATAATAAACTACGTCTATTTAACTCTGACAGATAAGAAAAAGCAAAAGGGAGATAATAAAATATAATTAATTGCTGTAAGATGGTTCATGTCTGAGACTCATTCTATTCGTCCCTTTCAACGATGGAAGCAATGAGTAATCTGGTGTTATGTCATTATTACCTTTGTTATAGGTGGAAGGACTGTGCCCACTGTTGTAGTACGGCATTGCGACTAGGTAATCGTTTATCCTTTATCTGCAACAGACGACAAACATTCCAACTTGAAGAAATAGATACTCCACCGTGATTTTATAAATTCAACAAAATATTTTCCACCCAAAGTATCGTTACAATTTATCTAACGCGACTTTTCGTTGACACATTCGCCACGGAACGACGACGACGATGTCATAAAGCTTTGCCAAGCGTACAGGTTTAATAACTTAATGACGGAGACGGCCGATACTCGCACGTCGCGTATCGTATCCGGCTACCGGGTCATGGGGACCATACTTGGCGGCACGAAAGCCTGCTTGTAACCAAAGTGAAATTCCAATGAGCCTAATTCGTTCGCCAGACATGTTGAGAATTCCTTTCGCGTGCCTTCCACTTATCGAACCTCAGCGTCCAAAGGTGAGATCCCATGGACACAATGGGCCAATAAATATTGCTCATTGACAAACGCTTTTGCAGAAACGAGCATCGCGGATTGTATGGCGCCAAAGTGTCCAACGCAACGAAAATAAACCATCAAAGAATTCAGAAGTAGATTATGCCTGGTAAAGAAAGATTGAAAGAAGTTCCTCATTTTACCTAAGAAAGTTTTCATTTCTCCTTTTCCTCTTTTTATTTCGAATACCTTAGGTGTTTCATTTTCCATATTCGCGTGCAATTTTCTCGTTAGCTATTTACATAAACAGCGCCAGTATGAATGAGTTCCATAGCCATTCAAGTTTCTAATTCTATTTGTATTCCTTCACAGACGTTCCTAACGCTCCCGTTGACACTGTACAATCGCCATCGATTTACCAAACACGTGCTTCCATTATACGATCCTCTTCTCATCCACGTTAATCAAATTTTCCAAATGCATGGAACATCGAGAAAGGCTATCCCCTCTCTAGACAAAGCGTACAAAATGATACGTTCTCCGCGTAGCGCCGAGCAAAGAGAGAAACTATGAAAACGGCTCGATTTTTGCATAGTTATGTGTGAGGAATGTGAAATTCTGAATTTACTCCAAGAGAAACCTATTTGATTCCGACGCCTAGCTACCATGAGTGTGAACGCCTCGTATCCATACGGGCGTACGCTAGCGGTTTCAGCCAGGTGCTACATAAAGGTTCCCAGCGATGCGGGCTCAGAGGTATACATATTTTGTCGCTACAAGTTGCCAGTTTCTCTAACGAAACGCATCTGCACCTTGACGAAACGTTAGTCAATAAGACATAAAATATGCTAATGACACGATACTTTAACCATCAAGCGTTCCAAATAGTACAATCGTCTATAAAGGGTAATTAAGAGGAAAAGAGGATACTCAATCGCAGTGTGGTGTATATGAATCAAGCCCCTAAGGGTGCCCTTGGATCGCGTACGATTCTTCACGTGTCTTCCCACGTGCAGGGAGCACGCTTGTTTTGGCCGCATGATTTATTCGAGGTAATCAGTAAGAACGTTGAATCCCACTGAAGCCTAGACTAATACGGTGCTCGTAAACTGTCTTGTGTAATCATGATTTATCGTTATTTTCCATCGTTCCTCTGTGTATTCATTTCCAATATTTTTCAGTTTCCTTGGGTACCAATCTGATATGCTAAAAAATACATCAGAATTTTAGCATGGAATGATCAGACAGGATATTTATCAAATATATATATATATAAACTTGGAAGAAAAAGAAGAGAAAAATATACAAATACGTTAACTGTAATTGGAAACAAAGTTTGGTTAAATTGGTAAAGGAGACTTATTTTCCTTCTTTGGATTTCCAGAAACAGTACTTGCCAGGTTGCTTTTAATTTACAGATTAACCAGACTTCCGCGCCGAGTCGTAACTAACAGTCATTTTCAAATGTTAAACTGGACAAGGAGGGACTGATCGACAAGTCTCAGAACACGGCTGATCGCTCGGTATACATGTACCGAACGAAGGATCCAGTGCGGTTCGATCCCGGTCTTTCCGGTTTTTCTCTCCCCGGACGCAATGAAACTACGGTAAAAGCGGCGAGAACGTAATTAATATTCGAAATCTGAACGTGGAAACGATGGTGGTTCCTGCCAGTGGATAAACGTTCGTCCGACGGCGAATGCTTTCACTGTGCGTGCCTGCCGCTGGGATTAGGCACGCTGGGAATCCGCATAACGGAGAAGGCATTGTTGCACGTTTCTATCAAGTGTAACGATACTGTTCCGCCTAACGTAAGTTGAGAATCAAACTGTTCAATAAGTTAGTAAGAAAATAAAATAAGAGGAAAAAAAAGGATACCTTACGTTCTCGTTTCATTTCGTTTTCTTTCGTATCATAATTTTAGTCAATGTAAACCGTTCACAGGTTTCTAATCATCATTCAACTGTCCCTCCAGATCCTTAAGATCGAAATGGATACATTTTTAAGCGAGAAGATGCGATTTAAACGAGAAAACGGAAAACATGGATAAGACGTGACCGATTCGAAAACGGAGATGTTTTGTTTAACGGCCCAATTTCATTTGCAACATATACGATTTTACGTGTAGACGGATTTGGGTCGTAGAATTATATCGCGATCGGTTAATGGCATTGCGTAACGCTGCGAGATACGTGACTCGATAAAAATTGATTGTATCATCGACGGTGGGAACGTTCGTTTGGTTTCCTCGAGATCGAGCTCCTCGTTCTATCTCTTTTACTTCTATTCTTTTTTATTCTCTGTCTTTGTTCCCCCTTTTCCTGCACTGGAGTCGTATATTTCATTCCACGCATGAACGAACTGACGAGATCTGGTAAATAGAGTGTCTAACTAAGTCTCTAACTATCTTCGTTAGAGACGCGAAACAATCTTTCGCGCGCGATTGTTGCCACTACGGTGAATATATATATGAATAATATGCCTCGCGAGGCGCGCAAGGTGATTCGATATATCGACGATTCGAGTTGATTATAGGCTTGGTTCAGAGCCCCGCAACACGGGAACGATGGAGCAATTCGTTCTCCGATCGAAGTTGTAACCGCGGCACAGAGATGTCGTAACAGCGACCTAATAGTAGCGACGACGAAAAGGGAAGGGAAAAGGAAGGAAGGCGAGTGTGGGCTTCGTTTATATGCCTCGGGATAGAAGTTACCAATGCATTTCGAGACTGCGAGCCGGTCGTTCCACGGTTGACGCTGTGAATTCCAGATTTTTATTGGTTTTCATTCAAATTTGCTATCTTATGTTTAACAGCATGAAATAATTCGACAGTTACTTGGAAGGTTTTGAAAATTCGTCATGGAACATCGATATGGTTCGATACGTAGTATACAAAAGGTATGAAATGACCGCTGGAACTATGAAATTAACTGAGCAATAAGAACTGTGGTATACTATGTTTACTTAATACTCAACAGAAGGCGAGCATCCACGGTCGAAAAGTAGAAAGTGAAGCATTCTATTCACGATTTACACACCGTTAACGATCGTTTATCACGATCGAAGATAGATGGCGGAATTCCATTGGCGTTTCACTGAATCGTAGCGACGGAAATGGAAATTCTTATCGTCAGACGTCGCCGTCTCCAGCTGAGGACTAAATTATGTAAATTTCCGGGAGTGTTGGTCGTAACCGATTGGATACGCAAAAAACATCGATCGAGGTGCTCTTTTGGTATTCGATTACGTGTCGACGCGATCGAAGTACGAACAAGGGATAAGAAAAGATGAAAGGAGCGTGTTACGAGACCTGAACGTTTACGATCTTGCGACAAGTATACGAGTATAATTGCTTATGGATGCGGACACGCCCTGAGAGAAAAATTCATCCGGGGAATGCGCTGAAGTAACCACGTCCTTGACCGTACTTGACGGAAACGGCATTCATTTTGGAACCTTTATCTGATGACTACCTTGAGAAAGTATCAGAAAGAATTGGTGAAGAATGTCAGAAGTCGTTAACTCAAAAATAGTGAAATTTCCTCTTTTTAGATGCAGATAGCACTTAGATATAAAAACAATACAAATTTTAAGGTCATATAACGCATCGACGCAATAAGAAGTATATGTATTTTCCAATAAACCAAATACTCGAAAAAGATAAAAGAACAAACATCTATTTATGTTACTATGTCATCATTTATTACACACCTAGTCTACGAAAGAGTTTTCAAGGATATTAGATATACTAATGAAGAATAAAGTGATTTAAACGCCAGCCTAGATCATCAATTCCTATTTCATCCTTCCAGATTACTAATACAAGGTTAAGAATTACCATGAAATAATTTCTCATTTTTCACAAATTATACCAAGTATACAAACGCAATTACATTCACATAATGTAGGCAAGAATATTATACGCCTGACTTGGAAGTGGACATGCGCGATGGAAACTGATTTGCAGCGCGAAGTCTAAATGACATGGGAGAGGGACGGAAAGCCTGACATTCTCGCGTTTTCTTCTCGAGTGCATACTTGTGCGCGCGCACAAGGTAATCGCATCTCTCCGGTTGCATACCGTGGGGCAAATTCTCGATGGCGCGTAGTTGGCTCGATAAAACTCAATTCCATAAAAATGACGCGGTAAATTAACTGCTCAATGTTAATTTACGGTCATAGAACGAACGGTGTCACGTGATTAGTCGAGAATTTCGTCTGGATCGAGATTCGATTCACGCAACGAAACTGCTTTCGTCTTTTCCGCCTGAAGGTTTCTCCTTTCTTCTTTTCGCGACTACGTAACGCCAGCACGCGTTGCCTGTTAGGTTAGGGTTTGAACGCGTGAAAAAGGGGAGGAATTTATGCCGTCGTTAATGTAACGTTCACCAGTGTAAGGTGGTTTACAAGCAACATCGTAAAATCCGCGTCTTCCCGATTTATCATAGCACGAGCAACAAATACTTTGCTCGCATTCCCTTCATTCGCCAGTGCGTGGAATATCTTGTAGCGAAGGTTGTTCACCCTTCTTGAGGGACTAAAATCATTCCTGATCCTGTGAGATAATGACTACCATTGATAATGACCATGAAAAAGGGATACCTCGGTAGAATTCTGATAGGATATCCTTCCTTAATTTAGCAGATCTTTTGTTGAATTTTAAAATAACCTTTAAAGATATATACGTAAATGAATGCGGGTTATATATATGGAATTATTATACATTTCAAAATGAAAGAAGAAAAGTAATATGAAATATTATTGTAAAATAAATGCTATTTCAGAAGTCTAAAGAATAGTTTAAAGAATCGTTTCGTAACTTATCTCAAGTTAATGGATATGCACGCAACAGACATAAGCATTATCCGAAGTAATTAAAAGAAACTCAAAATTTCATTAACCATATCCAATATCTCGACAGCTGCAACAAGATTGTTCAAGTATTGCTACATTAACACTCGACTACAAGACCTGTACACACAGAGACACCTGTTACACAACCTATAAAACCAGGTCAAATTAGATTAACTTAATAAAATCGTACATGTTAATAATAACACTTTCGACAGGTTCAACAACCATTTACTTTTTATTCACATCTTCAATAGACATCTACAACAGCCATCAAAAAATCTCCACGAAATTGCTAATGGTGGATTTAGAGCATTAATTACCTAAATGCAGCATGCGAAAGGAATCTGTCGACTCATTCGGTATCAGTCGAGAATCGAGATGCGATTGGGCGGCAGCGAATCGAAGCTTTTGAGAAAACAGCAACTTGTGAGGGCGCGACGGGTAAACGCCTGTTGAAAGTAAACATATTGCGGACGTACGGCGGTGCGAGCATTGAAAAAGTGGAAAGAAAGTTGCCAATGCACCTCGCATACCTACTGATCCGCCGGTCGCGAACAAGTTTCGCAGTGAATGGACCGAGGGAATGAACTTTTCACTCACTTGCATCCACAGCCAGGATTAATCTCGATTAATGGAAACTTCGTGATTATCGGGTGGTCTCTAACCAACGAATATTTTCGACACATCTATCACGAGCAGAGAATTTGCGTGGACTATGATCACGAAGTCCATCGATGGATGGTATACGCTTGTTATCGAAGATACGATTTTCAGATAACTTTCGACAATGTTACAGTGGCTTTCTAAATTGAAAGCGATTATTGCTTATCGATATTACAATGATTAAAGACTTTATTTTCAAAACAAGCCCGATATTTTTACGTTGCTTGAATTCATTGTGCAACGTCATATAAAAGTTTATTTTGTCTGTATGTGTATACGTAGCGAAAAAGGTTAGCCATGAACATACATGATCATAGATAAATTACGAATAAGAAAAAATAAATTTCTTTTATTCGGATAATTTTAATGATAATTGGAAAGTAAGGTTAGTATAAACGATACGATAAAAAGTTTAATTTTAATCGACGTTTATGTGTGATATGTGACTTAAATAATGTTTAACGTATTTTTAGTAAACGCACGAGTAGCAAAAGTCTACAGGAATGCATCTTTTTCTCCTTATTCTTTTTTTCTTTTCGTAGTGTCGAAGGTCGTTCGATGCAATATCGATATACGCGTAGTGCAGTAAATATTTGCAATTTATGTCACGACAGTCATAATGGGGGACTATGTAGGTATTTCGTAGGCGTGAATTACAGGTGATTGCCGTGTAGCCATGGTGCCATCGACATTTTCAATACTTAGACCGTGTTGTACAGGGATTAGAATAATCTTCATTTCATTCGAATTCTATGTTTTTCATATATTTCTACATGTACTTAATTATTTGAAATTATATGGAGTATATTTCATTGTTATTCTACGCGTACGAAATATAGTTATAATCATATGTCTTAGCGCATTAGAACGAATTTATTTTTGCAATGAAACGAAGACTACAAATTATACATTCATGATATTCACAAGTGAAAAATAACTACCGTAAAAACTTGCGAAGTAACCCGTGTAATTGTGTTTGAACATCGGCTATCTGGTCGATAAGAAATTTTCTGTGAGACGAGTTATTTAACGTGAATACGATTTTATAGGAAACAACTGAATTTACAAATCAAGAACATCATCGATTAAAAATAAGCATTGCAGTTACTCGAGTCGAGAGAACATTTATCGGAAATATCATGAGCGCGGTACTTTCTTGCAAAACTGCGAAGAAACATTTTCTACTTTTTCTTCAGTTCCACAATTATTGAACCTATTATCGTTAACAAAATTACAAGGTATGTTATGCTATTAATAACATGTAAAAATTACTAGCAAAAACAAATAAATAATTATAATAAAAAGGAGAAATAAAATAATGAATCATCGCGATTCATGTGAACGTGATAGTGATAACGCGATAAAAATGTTCACAATGATTTTCGATTATATATGATGTGTACGTATGTAAAAGCTCGTGTAGGTGGAAATCGAAATCTTATTAGTAAATCGTGATAGTTTTACGCTACATTTCCATTGTGACTTAAAAAGTATCATTTATATAAAAATTTCTTCCGAGCACAGAAACCGAGAATCAAGATGAGCTCATCGTTTCATGACAGAACATTGTTTACGGTATTATTGTGTAGCTTTTACATACGTCTTAACGAAATACCAGAGAAGATAAAATTTAATTTTTCCGTGGATGTTCATGTTACCGAGTACATCGACTACTTACCTTTTTTATAAAGATAAATTCATCAATTAAGATGCAAACGTGTGTCAATTAGAAGGAATTCGATTGCACGTTGTCGATAGCAAGATTTTTCTTATTGAAGTCCGTTACCATGACCAGGCACGAAGTATACATAGATATGTACGTTCATACGTTGATTATCATTGAAGACGTACAGCAACAGGTGTGACCACGACAGACGATTCTCCGCAGGGAGAAATCCACGTCGATGTACTCGGTACAATGACTCCAGTCAAGAAATCATTTCCATAAATACCTTGACAGCAGCGTTTCACCGAGTCCGCTGAATCCTTGTTTCGTAGTTCGGGATCCGTACGGAACAAATCGGCATCAAAAATCACAGCCTACACGGCGTAAATGCATATGAAACTGTTTCACACTTCTCCTACTTACCTATTTACAAATTTTCACAATATGCACACACCAAAGGAGAAAAAAGAAGAGAAAGAGAAGGAGAAAAAGCTTTTGACAGAGAGCTACGTGCCGATCATGCTCGACTGGAAATACCTGTACGACTACCTGATTGCTCTTTGCCTGTTTGCTTCTTACCTGTTTTGTCCAGGTGCATTCCTGATACGGACTTTCTCATTGGTTGAATTGTACCTGTAGAACATGGCGGTTAGATCTAACGGAATTGGATATTTTCAACATGATGAAACAGAAACGTATTAACGTTTTTAAAAAATATTATAATTGAAATGTAATTGTTCAATAACTACGAATAATTAATTTCTATCTATGTTATAAACTTTTAAATAACATGGTAGCATAAGATAAGCATGTAAGTTAAAAACAGTGTTACCAAACTAATAAAAAATGAAACTAAAAAGAAAATAGATACTTATAATTTAGTAAAAAGATAATAACTTTGTTAATAATAAATTAAAAAGTACTTACCAAAATTAGTTGCAAAATATAATTTTATTTCTTTTCTAAACGTATTAGGAACTCTCGAAACAAAAATAATCACGATACAATTATATTACAGGAATAAATTTTTATTACAAATTATAATACAATTGAAATGGAAAATAAATTTCATATTATTCAACGAATTTAACAAGAAAAGTGTTAATATTTTAAACACAAATTATTTATTTAAATAAGCTATGTACATAGTTCAGTGTTTTTATATCTTTGGTGATGCTTTAAGGAAAATTATATACTTGTATATACTTTTTACCAATGAAACTGCTCGCTATAACGGAAAAACATAAAAATTCGGTCTTAAAACTCGGGGGGCTTTTTATTTGTTATAAAGTATCAAAGCATAAGCAAATATTAACAACAAATTGTAAATATTAAATTTCAATCATTTTTATATGAAAAATGAGCCTATTCAGAAGTATTGATATTTTGAAACATGATTACTAAATAATCATTTAATTACTGTATTTTCTGTGGATTTAATTTTATTTAAAGACACTTCATTAAATGCTTACAGAATTTCGTTTTAATAGTAAATACTATATAAATCAACTATAGCAGATTGTATATTTATGCTAATCATAATGCACTAAACGTCATTTTCATAGTCCTTTGGATTCTTACGGTATAATTTTCTATTTTCTTCATGTGCCCAATTCATTATGATAAAAGATATCATAAACACTGCAATGCGAAATAAAATATTTTCATTAGTAAGTCATGAATTATAATGTAAATCTATCAAAGTATATAGCTCTGTCCTTGTATTTTATATAAATAAAGTCAAAGTATAATTAAAATTATCACTTTATTAGTAATTAATAAAGAAATACTTGCTGGGTGCAATGCGTAGAAAATTTTTTCTGAAACCTTTCATCAATCCAACACCAAGATCATTCATTCCAGCAAAAGCTCTTTGTTCATGTGGACTAAGGCGAAAGAATGTAATGCCACTTATTCTTGCGAGATTTCCAAAGTCTAACCCCATTTTGTCTAAATTTTGAAAATACTTTATATAACTTGAAATATAAAAGAACATAACCAAGAAGTAAAATATGTAATGCTACAAAATATTACTATAATTTTTAGATGTATAAATATAGTTACGTACTTTAATTAATTATAAAAATATTAAAATAAAGAAGACACTTTTTTATGAAATTATACAACTTACATGATCTGTGTTAAGCGATATTACACACGAGAAGTCTAGAGAGATTCTGCTCTCGGTAGTATCTGGTAGTATATTGACTAGGTACTATTTTTTCTTATCTCATACGTAAGAGCGGCAAATTTAAATTATGTGAATAATATAAATTACTACTAATATTAATACATTAAAACAATAATGTTTGAATCAAAGTTACATATTGTGAGTACATAAAATTTTATATACTACTTTTCAGAGATAATTTAAATGGTATATATTATAAATTATATTATACTTTTATTCTTAGAAGTTATCGATTTAATGTTCAATATATTAAAATAAAGATATATCTTAAAATTAATTAAAATACATAAAATAGATATAATTTTTATCAGTTTTATTAATAAATTCCAGAAATTAATAATTATTTTAATTATATAATAACAATAAATATCAGTATTTCATAGGGAATTTTGGTTTTTACTTGTCATGTATTATAATTTTTGCCTGTATTTTTTATAATTTAAGAATAACATCTCATTGATAGTATTATCCATCATATTTTTATATAAATTAAGAAGTTTCGCTTAGATATTACTAAAAGATTATGATATTATCTTTAACATTAAAAACATAGATGACAAACTACTCGACCATTCTCTGTTGTAAGGTGGCGCCACTATTGCATTATAATGAAGTAGGTACAAGGGAAGAAGAGGTATACGAAGCAAGGAATGGGACAGTTGCTCGTGTGCGAGGCTCCGCGTGATATCGTGGACGTTGTGTATTTTGTGTTTTGTGCTTATTGCATACATTGTCAACTGCTTCTCACGAGGTACACAAATGCAGTTCATAAAGATGATTTATCGAAGCACATTTCCAAATAAATTCTCGCAGCCGGTGACTGAGTAACGGGGCTAAACCTGACGCGAGGTCCTCACCCGCGTTAGGTGCGTGTGGGCCACCTATCCGCGTCCAAGCTGTGTCGAGCATTCAAGTCATGGTATCGAGGTTCGACACGAACTTCGGTTGTGAAGACTTTTTCGGGACTTATCGTTGCACCCAAGACATGGCTTGTGATCGTGGTGATTCGGACTTCGAGTTTATCATACCGCCAGATGCGCCGGTCTTCGAACCAAGTATTGAGGAGTTTCACGACCCCCTAGGCTACATCGCAAAAATACGACCGATTGCAGAGAAGTCTGGCATTTGTAAGATCAAACCGCCGCCTGTGAGTAGATCATTCTATCATGATTATATCAATCTTTTTCTCTCCCTGCTTTCTCTTTCTTTTACTTTATCATAGGAAGAACACGCTATAGTTGTATCATCCTTATTCTTCATTTAAAAGTAAGACTAAAACAAATGGATGAATTTGTATTTTTTTGTGATCGACGAACGTGCAGATATGCACACACGACCTCGTTTACGTACTATGACGCTTCCGCACGAACATCACAGCCGTGACATCACAAAATAAATGAGTTCCTACGTAACACGTACTTTAGAAAAATTAACCAATAAATAATATAAATTTTTCGCCATGGCATGTTTTTGTGTAAATATTAATAGTTGTTTCCTTCCGCGTCCATGTTAAAAAGTTAAAGTCTGGTAAAAGTCGTGATGTTTCTATCGACACAAGTCGTAAGATAATACGACCAAAAGGGAAGAAAAGACTTCTAGGTGTTATCTCGTGGGATTTTGATTTTGTTCCGTACATTAGTTAGCATTTGCAGTGATATTTCTGATACATCGATATATTTTCAACTGGCAAGTTAGAATAGGAGTGACAGCATTCTAAGAAAATAAAAAATTCTGAAATGAAATACGTTGGGTACTCGTTTCATTGCGACATTAATATCGTTATAGCTAGAAGGTACGCTATGTAAAATGGCCGAGACAATCGAAACAATGTCACCTTACCAAAACGTCTTGAAATGTTTCGGAAATTGTGTATGATACTCGTGCATCGATAGAGAAAGCGCTGAAATAATTATCAGCGTTTATAGCTAACAATCTTTCTAAGATGACTATCATATCATAATATTATCGGCATGGGAATCATTTGATATATTCTTAGAAGTTGTTATTTCATCTAAAAATACCATGATAACTTTTTATACCCATGAATGCTCTTAACTTAGTCATACGGCAAGTTTTATATATATTTCTATTCGGTTTGATTTCAATTAAAAATTTCATAGAATTTTTTTTAAATTTCCGTTTTACAAGGTAGGAAGCGATGCGCATTACCATTATATTTTTTCCGGTCTCTATATGTGGAAGTATTGACTTTTTGCGAAATATTTTTTTAATTTCTTTAGTCGAAATCTCGTAAATTGTTCCTTTGATTTCTATCACCATTAGAATTGATTTGAGCCACCATTTTGTTTTCACATATGTAAAGAAAGATTTTGCAATATAAATTCTAGGATTATGTTTTGTTTGTGAGAGATAAAGGGACAAAGAGAAATTACTAATAATTTCGACATAAATTAAAATGTTGATTTATTATAAATGATCGGTAAAAATTCGACATATCAATTGGTATATCAATGTTATATGTTATGTCAACACTATAAGTGCACAAGTAATAATTTAAAAATTACATTAAATTGATATTAAGAATATCGCAGAATCATTATTATTTTTTCTTAAATATGTATTAAAAGTAATTGGAATTTATTAATTTAATTTATTTAATATTTTAAATTATTTTAATTTTTATTACCGTTTAAGTGATTGAACAACTCGGCGAAAGCAAATTATTACAATATGTCAATTATGAAATATAATATTATTTACTTCTCGCATAAATAGTGTTTAAATTCATAGTACTTTATTGTTACTCTAGCAGCGACAGAAGTATCATCTTTATAACCGTTAACGTTCTTCTCTCTGTCAACTACTTTCTTAGCTCCTAAAAAGTTAGTTTCATCTTAAACATTAACTGCTAATTTTTGCTGACAAATTTATTTGTTTTATCCGTGCGATAATCTTGATCAAACATATCAATATGTTTATCTGTAATTCATTATTCTTGGAGAAAATTCATATTTTGTAACGGGATGACGCCATTACGGAAATAACTATGGTCACGGCATTAAATGAGCGTCGTATATGGAGAAAATCTTTGCGATATTTATGTATTTCTAATTTGAGTTCGTGTATTGCAATAATATGCATCATGCTAATCATAAGTTTCGTTTCGTGTTCAATTGGTATAATTATATATAAACATTTCAAACGTTATTTAATCGCGACGAAATTATTTGTACCTTGATTTTGATAGCTGTTTTATATTCTGCAATACGTGTTTTTGAAAAGTCAACTGATCTTACAATGGTGTTGCGTCACGGTAGAGATGAAGCTACGAAAGCATTTATCGATTATTTGGACATATATATTTATGTGTTACTGTATTCACCAATAAATTTCTAATATGTTAGAATAAATAAAATTTAAATAAAAATAATTATCCTGTTATTATTTTCATATGTTAGGCAAATATCAATGAAAAAATAAATTGTATTTATATGTATATTTTATTTGTTTATTTATTTATTTATTTATTTATTTATTTATTTATTTATTGCACATATAAATCTACATTTTAAGACCAATTGATTTCTATGATGACTTGTAAATATTAGCCCATCTATTGAATGCAAATTAAAAATCACATTAAATGTTGTACAATTTGCAAAATATTGTTCTATTATGTACATGTTTCATTACGCATAAATTTGAAGGCAAATCACAAATTTAAGCATAAATTACATGATTTATAACAACATGTAATACAAAACATTGAATAAATTTATATTGTTTCTTTTGTAAATAGAAATATGTATAAATAAGATTATCAAAGATGTTTATAGATTTTATTTAATGAGATTTTGGCTATACTTAATTTGTTTGAGTACTGGATTATTTTAAAATATTTGAGAATAAATAATATTTACTAATAATATATATTCCATGTAATAATAATGTAACACTATGTTACTTTATGCTATCACTCTATTTTCTAATGTTAACATATCTTTGCAAGTAAAAGTATTATATGCAAATTAATTTTATAAATTTATTTTTTCCTTTTTCTTTAGAATTGGCAGCCACCATTTGCTGTTGATGTTGATAAATTCAAATTTGTTCCAAGAATACAAAGATTAAATGAATTGGAGGCAAAAACTAGGATAAAACTTAATTTCTTGGATCAGATTGCAAAATTCTGGGAACTTCAAGGTTCATCTTTAAAAATTCCTCTTGTTGAACGCAAAGCTCTTGATTTATATTCTTTACACAAAATAGTTACTGATGAAGGTTTGTTGTTTTGCTGTTTAATTGTTAATATCTTGTCACATATTTCTTAATGTTATAAATATTTATATATGAATGTTATTTTCAGGTGGAATTGAAACAGTAACAAGGGAAAGAAGATGGGCAAAAATTGCAAATAAATTAGGTTATCCTTCTGGACGCAGTGTAGGAAGTATTCTAAAAAATCATTATGAACGTATTTTATATCCATTTGACGTATTTAAGCAAGGAAAAATATTGACAGATATTGTAAGTTATTTTTTACATAAATGTTAAATTTATCTCAAGTAGTAAATATTTATAATGTGTTTTATATATGAATTATATAGAAAATTGAACCGGATTCTAATGTAAATGAAAAAAAAGATAGAGATTATAAACCACATGGAATTATATCACGACAACAAATTAAACCTCCAACTGAGAAATTTTCACGTCGATCAAAAAGGTTTATTGGCCAAGAAGAAAAACAGGAAGTACCTATTAAACAAGAAGATTGTAAAGAGGAATGTGACTCTGATAATGACTGTAAAGATGCAAATAGAAATAAACAATATGATGATAAGGACAATAGTAAAGAACTTAAAAAATTGCAATTTTATGGACCTGGTCCAAAGATGGCAGGATTTAATACCAAAGAAGGGAAAAAATCGAACAAAACTAGAGGTCTAAAACTTGTGTATGAAGTTGATCCAGTGAGTGTAAATTATATATAATTTGGTTATCACTTATATTCATAAAAATTATGTTTCCCTAATTTGTATATTTTTGTAGTTGGCA